TTCTCCAGAAGTCTCGAGAGCCTAATTTTTGTGATGAGATACGAGATTTAATGACCTGGGAATAGCGATCTTTGGCGTCAGACAAAACCTTTTTACAATGGTTTCTGGCGATAGTGAACAGATGTCTGTTTTCTGGAGAATTGTTTTGCTGATAGATATGGAAGTAACGGTTTCGATTAGAAATTGCTGCAGCGCAATGTGAGGAAAACCAAGGAGAAGAGTGAGGCTTGACCTGGAATCGTCGAGAGGGAATAAAAGATTCCATGCCAGCCTGAATCCACGAAGTTATACAAGAAGCACATTTGTCAGCAGGAAGACGAAAGATTTCTACCCAAGGGCCATCACGAAGAAAATCACGGAAAGAGTCCCAGTCAGCTTTAAAGTAGTTGTATGTGGTACGATGATAGGGGGATTCTGATGAAGTAGAAGAATTTGATAATAGTTTTAGAGAGATCAAACCGTGATCAGAAGTACCTAAGGGTGAATGTGGAGAAATCGAGCACTGACTAGGATCCAAAACAAGACATAAGTCGAGTAGAGAAGGTAAATGATTAGGGTTGTCTGGAAAACGAGTTGGAAAGTTGACTATTTGAGTTAGAGATTGAGAAAGGCAAAAGTTGAGGGCCTTAACGCCAGCAGAGTCACTGACACTAGAGCCAAGCCAATCGGTGTGATGGACATTAAAGTCACCAACAACGACGATATTGGCCGATGGATAAAGAGAGAGGGCTTGGTCAATTTGATCAGAAATAACATCAAGAATAGTGCAATCTTGGGATGAAGGAGAGCGATATAGAACAAAGAGAAAGGCGATAGAGTGAAGTTGTGCTAAACGAAAGCACATAAATGAATAGTCTGTAGATTCAAACCTAGTTTCACGACAAATGGGTGAGTTCTTACAAATGTAGATGCCCAGGCCAAGCATGTGATTATTGGAGTCTTAACGAATTAAAGGAAGATAACCATCAACACTAAGATCACAAGATGGGACAGCCGAACTCAAATTAGTCTCACAAAGAGCAAGTAGGTCTGGTGAACTTTGCAAGAGATAAGACTCAACAGAAGAAAAGTTACTTCGAAGACCACGAATATTAGTAAATGATAGGTTTAGAGAACTTGGTGATGACGATGGTTTTTTGTGTTTTTTAGTTTTAGGTACTTTAGTCATTTTAAATTTATAAAGAACTTGACTCAAGTATAGATAGTACTCAGTACACTATTTAACAACTAAGCAATAGCCTCATTACTATTAATAAACCCTAAGCCGTAACAAAGGGCTCCAAATGTGGCCTCTGCAATGCACACCAAAAGTACAAACAGGGACACCATCCATGCGCAACATGGCACTGTTAGTACTCTGATATTTTTCGGCTGTTGATGGAATCAGCCTCTCTGAGAGCTACCACAGAGTTCGGGAAACCTGACTACCAGCCGGCCTCAGAACCATAAAACTGAGTTTTAGAGCTGTACCCTCATTAGGAGATAATAGAATGAGTTGCCCAGTCATAAAAATAGAGACACAAGCAATACCCACGCATTGAGTCAAGAAGATCCAGCGTTCAACATCCTAAACTGGAAACAATGTATTAAAAATACATCTGCGCCAGCCTAATAGATGAGGAAGGGGTTCGAGGCTGGTCAACAGATAGAATCTGTTTACCCCTTAAGTCTTTGCCTAGGAGGCCTTCTACAAGACAGCAGCTGGATGCATGTAACATCTGCCCAAGATGAGTATTTTTATCGGGACACCATCTCTAGCCTTTACTCAACCAAGAGCCCCAAGGCAGGGGGTGTTTTAATTCGGAGTTAACTTCTCCTAGCCTTTGCCTAAAAAAGTGTATCCTACAAGGCAGCAGGACATGGAGCAGGTTGTACTGGGTTACATGTTACCAGTAGCAGGAAAACCTGACCTGACCTTTTCCTATTTTAATTATTTGTAAAAACATATCAAGCTAACTACTAAATAACAGTATCATTTATAAAAACATATCAAGCTAACTACTAAATAACAGTATTATTTATAAAAACATATCAAGCTAACAAATAACAGTATTATTTTTGCAACTTATTAAAACTATTATATCTATTATAACTATAAAAATTAAATGTTTTAACAACTCATTGGCCCTTTTGGGAGAAGAAATTAGCTTGTAGAGGTATTTTTGTCTACAAAATTTAATACAAATTAGATACAAATACCCAAATTTTTTGCATTGATTGGATTGATTTCAGATTTGACTTAGTAAGCGTGAACTTACTTAAGTTTGGTTCAGAATTTCTTTTAAACATCATTTGATTCTTTTAAACATCATTTGAATGTTCAAAAAAAGTCATTTGAGGACCAAATGCTGCTGGGCATATTACAGAATGTGAAATTGTGCTAGAATTGTGTACACCTAAAGTGGTTTTTTTAGAATTGTGTTCACCTAAAGTGGTTTAGAATTGTGTACACCTAAAGTGGTTTAGAATTGTGTACACCTAAAGTGGTTTAGAATTGTGTACACCTAAAGTGGTTTAGAATTGTGTACACCTAAAGTGGTTTAGAATTGTGTACACCTAAAGTTTAGCAAATTTTACTTCAAATTATGATTTAAAAGCTGCTGCTTTTAAATCATAACTTTATGTTAATTAGGAAATAGAAATAGTCAAAAATGATAATAAAAATAATATTTAACTAAAATTCTGTTAGATACATTTTTTTATTATTATTTTCTATTTCTATATTACTTAACTTTCTTTTATTTTAGTTTGGATACTGTTGAGACATGATTTTAATTTTGTAAGTTTCAAGAATTGCATCATTTTTTTGAGGCATGTATGAAGTGATCATTTTGTCTTTTTGGAAACCAAATAAACTGGTTCTTTACTTTTTTAAGGAAGAAATTTTGGTGGAATTTCATGTTTATTCTTCTTCCAGGTTCCAATCAGTATAATTTTTTTCTTTAGTAAATAGTCAGCGAGAGGAATACTTGTATAATAATTGTCTGTGGCCAAATTTCTGTTAGAATTTTCAATTCGTTCAATTAATTGTTTTACAATATTAAAAGGAGCATTTGACAAGGCATATTGATCATCTGGCTGTTTTCCACAGTAAATTTCCAAATTAAAAGTATAAAAAGTTTTAGCATCACATAGTGCATACATATTGATCCTATATTTTGCTGGTTTTTTGAGGAATATATTTTATTCAACTGCAGCGACCTATAAACAGATGGTTACATATTTACCTAATTTGAAGCACATCCTTACTATTGTGAACAAATGCATCAAGAAATGTACCAAAAGCAGCTAATTTATCTATTTTTTGGCTTTTTCCTCTTGTGGTTTTATTGTCAAACCTCAGAGAGTGTGTCGAAAATAAAAAAACTCTTTAGCACATTACTATAGGCCAACGGCTTCTTTTACTATGTTAATTTTTTTTATTTTTGAAACATTTTTATTTTCAAATTTATACCATTTGGTTGTCTTATCTTTTGCAATATAAAAGTTCTCACAAAGAGTGTTTTCTTTATTTTGTTCACTTATGTCATCTGAAATACTTTGTTCCAACAAACTACCAATATCATTTATATCTAAATTCTCTCCACTAAATTCAGTATCACTTTCCAAATTTTCATCATCATTTTCATCTTCTTCAAGCATACGCTGAACAATATTTTCAAGTTCTGCTTCCCTTAGACACATTTTATCATGTGACAATTTGTCTTATCTACAAGAAAAATTTCAAAATAATATCCATCAAAAATAAATAAATTTATTAATTAACTAATAATAATTAATACATTATATATATATATATATATATATATATATATATATATATATATATATATATATATATATATATATATATATATATATATATATACATATCTTTTTGATTCACAATATGAAAAGATACATAAAAAAACTGGTAAATATAAATAAAATTACACTAGTAGTTGCGTGCCATAAATTTATTCCCAGCACATCCATTCACATATGACTCAGTGTGGAGCAAATGTTGTGTTACAAAAGCAAATAATGCGTACCTATGCAAACCTATGCAACATATAAACATTGTTCTAGGAATAGATGCTGATTATTTTTAAAAATGCATGTGTACAAACATTTCATTAAAAAACAAAAATTTTGCTGTAAGTTTTATGTCAGCACGCCCACTCAAAGGTTAAAAGCGAGAATATTTACCCAGACTTGTATAATTGTATCTTTAGCAAATATAGCTAGTTTAGAAGTTAGATTGTCAAAAAAATCATTAATGTAGATGAGAAACAGTTAGGGTTAGGTTAGAAAAAAAACTATGAGACCCATTAGGTCACTGGATTGTGTTGTTTATAAAGGATGACTTGAACACTGCCTATCATAGTTACTCATGGTTCATTAATTTAAAATTTTTCTCAAACATGCCTCATGAATGGGGCTTTTAAAGAAAACCAGCGTTCCAAAGTTTATCAAAAGTATTTAATATGTCAAAAGTATTAGTTCTTGCTAATAAAGCATAATAGAACTTTTCTGGTAATGGTTAACAGGTTAGAGAGGATCAAATCTGTATTGATTGTCAAAGAATATGTTGTTAGACTCAAGATGAGATATTGAAAATCGTTATTTTAAGATTCTGCTAATAATAGTAAAAAGACTGGTAAGGTCAGTTAAGTTTGAGCCAAAAACAACAGTTAAAATCAAGAGAAGATTGATTCAAGATAATATTAACTTTATTTTAATTTTTTTTTTATTTATATATTTATAATCAAAATTCTAATTATATATTTATAATTAATGCAATTATAATTTTTATTTAATACTTTATTTTAAATACTTTTATTTATAGTTTTTTTATTTTTATATTTTTAAAAATGTTTTATTAATTTATTCTTTTTATGTTTTTATACTGTTTTATTTATGTTTTTATAAAAATATGAAAAAATATGAAAATTTTGATTTAACATATTTCTAATAATATTGATTATAATAAAATGTTAAATGTTATTTTGTCTTAAAAGTTAGAAGGCGCTACTTACATGGATATTCACAAAGCTGGTGGTGGGATTTATTTCACTGTGAAATCTGTACACGAAGCGACAGAAGATGAATTATACCACAGTTTCTTGAAGGTTTTTTATTATTTGTTATTATAAAGTATAAAAATAATAATATACATTTATAAAGCGTAATATAAGTGTTATAAAGGAATTGTATTCTATAGAGATTAAAGGCCATGTCAAAATGTGGGACGACAACCATTGAAGCAAAAAGCGGTTATGGTTTAGATGCAGAAAACGAGATTAAAATGCTAAAAGTTATTGAAAGAGCTCGTAAAGAAATCTCATTTATGGATATCTCAGTTACATATTGTGGAGGCCACGCAATACCAAAGTTTGTTTATTTTTTTTTTCTGTGTCCATAACAAAATAAAAAAGTTCATGGGGATACAAGTTTCGAATAAAAAAGCTTTTCAAAACCATGTACTGAGGTCATTAATCTAACCAATCACAAGTCAGTCAAATTTTAATTCTGTCTTCCAATTATTTGGTTAATGTAAGTTTAGGTAATTACCCACACTTATATTAGCCACACTTACATTAACCACACTTACATTCATGTAAGTGTGGAAAAAGGTAGAAATAAAAAAAAAGATATTTTTTTAACATAAAAGATTTAGATTATTGTATAATCCTGTATCCTTATTGTATGATTTTATAAAAATATATATGTGATATTGTATGTATTTATGTGATTTGTATTAGTATGTGATTTGTCTGTAGAGGCAAAACAATGGAGGAAGCTACACAAGATATAGTCGAGAATCAAATTCCACAAATTGTTAATTTGATGAATGATGGTAAAATACATGTTGACAACATTGATGTATTTTATGAAACAGGAGTCTTTGATAAAGAATCAACAAAAAAAATATTATTAGCAGGAAAAAATGTTGGAATGAATATTAATTTTCATGGTGATGAATTAAACTCAAACCAATCAGGCAAGGTTTGAATATTAAAATTTGTTTATACAAAACAAAAAAGTTTGTGTTTTTTTATATTGTTTTTTTTATCTGAGTTTTATGAAATCTAAATTAAGTGATATTATATTTTATTGAATAAAAAAATTTATAGAGATAGAAAATAAAATCAGGAGTAAGTAAATGGCAAACCCTTGGGAACTCATTTGCTAAGGTTCTTCTTGTGATTGCCATTTTATTACTGTTGAATACTTCAACTACTACAAATCTCTTATTCATCCTTTTTTTCATCCTTTTTTCTTCCATTCTTTTATATATATATATACTTATATATACTTATATGTACATACATATATATATATATATATATATATATATATATATATATATATATATATATATATATATATATATATATATATATATATATATATATATATATATATATACTTATATATATATATATATATATATACTTATATATATATGTATATATATATACTTATATATATATACATATATATATATATATATTCTTATATATATATATACATATATATATATATATACTTATATTTATGTATATTTTTATCAACCCTCGGAATTAGGGTCGGCATTCAGCAATGCCGACCTAACTGCCGACCTAAAAGTGTTTGAGGTCAGCAAATAATGCCGACCTCGTTTCTAAGTTTGATGGTAAGACCTTTGTATCAATTTTTTTTGCCAACCTGATGCCGACCTCTAAAAGATTGAGGTCGGCAAATTATTGCCGACCTCATTTTTCCTAATTCCAAGGGTTGATATATATATATATATATATATATATATATATATATATATATATATATATATATATATATATATATATATATATATATATATATATATATATATATATATATACATATATTTGTTTAATTTTTTACTTTTTAGCTTGGAGCAGAAGTTGGAGCTCTCGCCATTAGTCATTTAGAAGAAATTGATGACGAAGGAATAATTTTAATGCAGAAGCAAAATATTATTGCAACTTTGCTTCCAACAACTGCATATATATTAAAGTTAAAACCACCTCCGGCTCGCAAATTGATTGAAAAAGGTTTTACTTCTATAAGCTTTATTAATATATATTAAAGTTAAAACCACCTCCGGCTCACAAATTAATTGAAAAAGGTTTTCTAGGTTTTTTTTTACTTCTAAAAGTTTTATTAATATAAACTTTTTGTTTTTATATTTTTGTTTTAATCTTTTATTTTAATTTTATTGTACAATTTCATTTTTTGTCCAGGTCTTTGTCATAAATATAATTTTAAAATTTAATTTTATCTGAAGATCACATTTAATCTTTTCAGGTTTGCAATTATTTTCAATGTTATCTAAGTAAGGTTTGAAAAAAAAAAAAGAAGAAAATTATCTTTTTTACCAGTAAAAATAGTAGCCTACAAACTTTTCTAAATCTCTTACTTTACCAATTTTTAAAATGTTCTCATAAAAAATAGAAGATCAGTTTAAAATAATTTAAAAAGTAAAAAAACTTACAAAAAATATTCTCGGCCATGTTTGTCAACCATGAAACTTTTGGTTTAAGAAAAAATGATCTGTACAAAATAGTTCTTAAAACGTTTTGGCTGCTTTGTAGCTATAGAGTTAAAACATGATGCATTTAAACAATGATGCTTTTCCATTTGACTCGCAATGATTTAAAATAATTTTTTTCTGGTCTTAACAGTAAAAATAAATAGCTGAATATTCTAGAATAATAGTAAATAAAAAATTTGGATAAAACTGGAATAATCAAAATAAAAAATATTCATGAAAAAAATTTTTTTATTTAAAATAATCCAAGTTCAATTTTTTATTAACTATTCATGAAAATTCAAGAACAAGCTTTAGTATAAAGAACATTTTTGTTTAAAAGAAGTAAAAAAAAGAAATACGAGAACAAATATGTAAATTTAATTAGTAAAGAATCAAAAAATTAAGTTTGTATTAATTTATTTCACAATTTTATCACAATCCTATTAGTTTAACTGAAAGATTTTAAAGAGATATGTAATGAAATAGGTAGACAAAATGGGAGACAAATTGCTATGAGAAATGGTTGACTAAGGAATTTATAGTTAATGAAGCTTAACAGGAAAATTGTATAAAAAGTATGCTATGAGGTTAAAACCATCAAAACCATCAAAACCATTAAAACCATCAAAACTAGTGCTTCCAATACTGGTAGTACCAATACCGGTATATCTGTAGTACTGGACTTTTTCAAGTACCAAAATACCGGTATTGGTTTGGCTCAATACAGGTATTAAAAATATATGTAGAGGGCTTATGATACAGGAGATGGGAAAGCCCTCATTTTGCGAAATACAAAATTAAATGACATATTTACAAAATATAAATGACAAACTTTCAGTTGCGATAAACAACGCTCCTGGTGGGATAAAGATAGCTAAATGACAAAAAACGTTTAAAACGTGTTAAACACGTATTACTAACTATATTACTTCTTAAACGCATCTTTTATCCATAGGATCCATAGGTAGCAACTAGCTAGATATTTGCTGGCTAGTCGCTAGCTCATTTCCCACCGGGCTTGTTCATCTTGTAATGAGAGTATTAAATCAGGCTCGCTAAAGATTTTGGAATAGAGAAAATAATAAGTAAATAAAAATAAAATAATATATTTATAATATATTGTAATATAATTATTGTTACAAATATTTAGTTAAAGGTAAAACTTGTTTAATTTCAAAGTAAAATTTTGTCTTCCTTCTATTAACAAAGCACTGATTTAAAATATTATCATTATGTCACTTGCTTTAATGTAGATCCCATGTTTGAGTTTTGCACTAACGTAAATATGAAAAGTTTGAAGTCGTTACAGTTGAGAACATTTTTAATTTAGTAAAAGTGTCAAGATGATAGTATATTAATCGTTTTTCATAGTGTAACTTATAAATGTAAAGTTATTAAATTAACAGCAATTATAGTTACGCTTACTTAATTTTATGCATTTTGAATTAAGAACTAAAAATCAAGATTTTATATCTAATAGATAGAATTATCTTAATATCCAGAAAAACATAAAACATCCTAAAAAGTATTCACACCGTTCAACACTGTACAAGTTGATGAAAGTTCTGCGTGGTTTTACTTTCTGCTTGATAAAGAAAATTAACTTGCAATGTGTAAGAAGTGCAAAAAAGAGATAAAGTCAAATGGTGGAGTACCAGTGTACTGAATACACATCTAAAAACTAAACATGAAATTGACTTGCTGAATAGGAAATTGTCCCAAGATGCAGCATCATCATCGGATTTTTTTTATTGGTACCATTATCAACGGGCAAAAAATCCAAATCTGATCACCAATTTATTACAAAATCAATGCGACAATTTGTTGTTCTCAGTTTTTCTAGACTGAACATGCTTTATGTTGGAATCTTGGATTAGCAAGTTGTTGGTTCGTCGCCTGCTGAAAAATGTATTGATTTAGTTCAAAAATTGTTGAAGTTTTATGTTGAATTGGAGCGTAAATTTTCAGCAAGTGGGAACATTATCACAAAATTAGATCATCTATTGAGGATGATACTCTAAACGTCCTATGTTTTTTACCGGCTCATTTTACAAAGGAGAAAAAAGCGAAAAATGAAAAAGTTAGTTATTTTGATATAAAATAAATAAGCTTATTGAATAAATGAAATTTTTGCTATTAACTTGAGATTTTATTTATATTATGATAAATTTAAAAAAAAATTTAATACCAGTATTGGAAGCACTAATCAAAACCATTAAAACCATTAAAACCATTTAAAGATCTCTCATTAAAGTTTAAAATAAGAAGATCTTTTGAAATTACTTAAAATGCCCAAATTCTAAAATATTTGATGGAATGTTTCCTGTAATATTTAGTTTTCTACAGAAGTATTTGTACTTAGCAGATGAAACTTTAGCAATTTAACTATCAAAGCTAAAAATGATTGCATATAGATTACAAAATTGTGACCTCCAACAAAGCTTTAGGAAACCTTCAAGGAGTAATGGATCACACTGCAAATAATATTTTAAAAATCATGAATAAATCCACTCTACTTGAGTCATATAATATCTTTTCTTATAAGCTAAGACAGATTTAATGGTTCAACTAGATTTTTTTAAGGATCACTAGTATAGCTCTGGACTTCTGCCTCACATTGCTGATGTTGGATATTTTCTGAAACCTGATCAATGGAGTCCCTTTTCCTTAAAAAATCAGAACACTCAAATATGATGAAACAAAAATTTCATATCATCTCTCCTGCCTGATGTTTTGAGAATTACTTCTGCTCTGTTATCAAACTGTGTTTTCAGTTATTCGCACTCCTTCAACAGTTGAGATACAAATGGATATTGGATGTTTGGCGGTTGTGCTTTACTTCCAAGTTCTTCATCCAGCACCAAACGGATTCTATCTAATACATTATGTTGACAACTGATAAACTGAGGTTTGTTGATGCATTTCACTGTGAACATTTGTTGCAATATTACAACAACACTATTCTTTTTTCCATTGTTGCAGGTGGTATCTGCAACAATCATCTGTATTAAATTCCATAGGTGAAATTCATTGAGGTTATTAGAAATTCCTTGAGCCATAGTTGAAGCCCTGCCATCTACCAAGCCAAAGACATCTCTTCTTTCATTTTTAAGGACGACCACTTGATAATCCATTCTGTCATTGTGCTTGCCATCAAAGTGTAAGGACTAATTTTCCATATGCAACTTTTCAATAATTTCTTCCTTGATTGCCTCTTTGATTGTAGACTTATAAATAGCTGATTGCTAAAGAGTTAGAATGTCAATGCCTTCACGAGCCAGTTGCTTGCATATGTTAGCAGCTTTGTTTGTTGATACTCTGGCAGAGGTCACCAAGTTGACTGCTTTTATAATGTTTTCTGCTTAGTGTAGGACTTGTCTTATCTTCTTCCTCATTGTTTTTATATTCACTGTCATCAGCCTCAGTCAGAATCCCTAAAACCAGGATAGTAAGATGATGAGTTGGATGATTCATTAGAAATTTTTTGTCTTTTAGAGAGATGGATCATTTTTTTACTGATCGCTTGGCCTGTAGAGTATCCCACTGTTTCTTTGCTTTCCACTTGGAGATGATAAAATCGCTTGTCCTCGGAAGATAACCATGTTCCATCTACTTAAGTAATATCAAAAATTTCATCAAGGGGTTCATAGCTTCCCTGCTTGACACATTATAACATTTCAGTATTTTATCAAGCTTTGCTCGTATAACTTGATCAGATACATAAGGAACTCAGTTTATTTTTCCACAATTTGGTGACTTCTTTGGAAATTTCCGCTATTCGCTCCTTTCTTCCTTTGATTTTTGCTCCAAGGAAATGGTAGCGTTCGATAATTTGGTTTTAGAGAGGCATTCTGCACTTTTTTTTCAGTGAATATTCTTCCAAAGGGACCATTCTTCTTCTTTTATGAGAGACTTCAAATTTTACCAGATTATTAGTCCAAACATCTTTGTTCTTCTGAATGCTACTATCGCTAGGCTTGTACAATGCTATGTGTTGCTTCTGAAATAACTATAAAATTAGATGAGCAGTTATATATAGTTTTAAATGTTCTAGAATATTCAAGAATGTTCTAAATTGTTCTAGAATGTTCCAAAATATTTTAAATTGTTCTATATTGTTATAAGTTGTTCCAGAATGTTTTAAATTGTTCTAGAATATTCTAAAGTCTTCTAAAATATTATGTTATTTTACAAAATTTTCTAAAGTTCTAAATACTTCTAATCTATACAAGTTTTAAATGATTTGCTGGAAAGCCACATGTATTAGTATTAGCAGTAACAAGATTAAATGACGAAATGTAATTTGAATTTCGGTGTGACCTTTTTTTACAACCGAGAGGAATTAAACATGTTTTTAATGTTTTCTAATAAAAGTTCATTGATTTATGACACAGGAAATTAATTTTTTTTTAATTAAAAATTCATAACCCTAGTATGCAATTTAGTTGACTTTTAGTTGATGTTGATAACAACTTTTATTTACATAGATAAAAAACAAATCATTACGGATTGTGGTTTCAA